ACGTAATGGAAGTGTTGACGACTTTTGCGTTCTGACGCATCCTTATCAGCCCTTATCAGTTGCTATCGCTTCCATTCATGTACCACCAATGTCCCGGGACCACCCCACATAACACTTGTAAGTATAGACGCTCTAGTACCAATATGAACGACAAAACGAAATTGGCGATGCTCGCTTTCTAGCCCCTCTTATCAGCTATTATCAGTCGTTATCAGTTCCTATCACGTACCACTTGTGTCCCCATCCCACCCCCTATACACAGTTCATGGTGCCACCTGTCTTTAAGTTAGCATTTTTACATGTTCCTCTCCTACACATGTTTGCTCTCAAGAAGAATCGAGAAAGCTTCGTTGAAGTCAACGGAACCGATAGCACGGACCAAGGTGGGTGCGACCGAATAGCTCTGATGGTCACCTATCTGAGAGCAAGGCTGAATGAAATTTTTTGACCGCGAAGGTGGCTGCAAAAATAGCGGCTGTTCGTGGCATTGTGGCTAGGGTTAAACATGGTGGTGCCAAGTAAGACGGCGAAAATCATGCCTGTGAAAGCTACTCCTCAAAATATCCCGCTTACTAGAATTCAGACATAATATATAAAGTAAGTTTACCTTCTATGTAATGCTTTCTTGACGTCATAGGTTTCCAGTTCCCGTCAAGGTGATAAAGTCGTGCTGAACGCCATGGAACCATTGTTGTGGATGATGAATTGTCGCGTAATGGGCGTCATTGCAGGGTTTTCTTTCAGCTTCAGGAGCAGAAACGCGTAGGTGACAACCACAGACACGAGCTAAAAAACGTTCTTGAAAATTGGCCATGTGCAATAATCTTTTCAGCAGGACTTACCGTGAAAAAGGTGGTCCGTTCAAGTGGAAACGCACGCCAGACTGTCATTCCCCACATGAACTGCGTGGACATTTTGTGCACGAAGCATGAAATCTGCAACAAATCATCTAAGTTACTGTACTTTGAGATACGCCGTGCTCTCGACTATCGTTCAGCATTTTAGAGGTGATTGAATAAACCGCTTCCCAGAACATGGGTAGTGCCAGAGCCCTCCCATTGGTGCTTCGCAAAGTATTTTTTACAGTATTCTTAAAGTCGATGCGAGCAGCGGAAGCCTCATCAATTCTAATAGAGCCACATTTATGGTTAAGACATTGCCCAAAAATCACCTGGAACCTATCCAAGTCCGCATTTGCATCCGGAACTATTCGAAGGACGGCATTCAATGCGTGGCGGGGCTGAAAGTATAAATCTGTCCAAAAAAAAAAAAAAAAAAAAAAAAAAAAAAAAAAAAAAAAAAAAAAAAAAAAAAAAAAAAAAAAAAAAAAAAAAAAAAAAAAAAAAAAAAAAAAAAAAAAAAGAAAAAAAAAAAAAAAAAAAAAAAAAGAAAAAAAAAAAAAAAAGAAAGGTGATGTTCTCTGCTGCAAAAAAACCGGCTTAGTCTCCCTATGCAGGGAAACCTGAGGCCTATACGCGGGAGGCTCGTTCGTAGGATTCAAGACAAATCGGCTGTATGGGCAGTCCATAATGCTTGATAGGTGCATCTACGGCCACAATACCTGCAGTCCATGCCCCCCGCCCAACAGATTGTGAAGTGAACACTGCGCGTTAATCGACGCCTAATTTCTGGTACCGTAATCTGCTCCGGCGAAATCGGTTCCACAAGGCTGAATGCAAACGATATAGAAGTTGTGCCTTACTCGAAAAAAAAAACGCTCTAAAAGCTCCGAGAGTTAAATAGTGCTTTACGGCCGCGCTGCGACCGCGCGCGTCAAGCACCGTCAAATTCAAGCTCTCGTTGTCCGGTGGTATCGAATGGATAATTTTAAAAATAATCTGTTACCGTAAGAAATCACCTTGAATGCGGTTGTGTAATGAAGTATATCGTAAGGCATAGGACAAGCATTGACCAAGCCAGCGAAAAAAGTATAAAAGGGTTAAATAGATTACCAACGGCTTCCTGCAATGATTACACAATATCGATTAGACATTCATCGATCAGCTCAACGATCTGAAGAATTAGAAGAAGAAGAACATACCTGAGCATTAGTGACCCGTAGAAATTGCTCATAATAAAATTTAAGGCTGAACTGTCTCTTACGATGCTCCATATCGAGAGATTTTATGAGTGTCCTGAAAAAAGTCTTCTCTGCCGATTTTTTCAGTCTACATTCTCTGAATTTTGTGCAGGCACTGAATTTTGTGGCAAGCATGGGCCACGTAGAGAACGCCCCGCCCACATTTGTTGGCTCTCCATCATGTCAACCAGCATCAACCCACTAGCCAGCTTTACCCATTTCTCGGTAGCTGACCAATCCTCTAATTGATCTAAGTTTTTGCAGCTACTTCTGTACATATGTGGCGAAGCTGCAGTTTGGGAGGGAAGAGGAGAGGGCGGGGGAGGGGGTAGTGGATGGACTTCCTTGTGTCCTCCAAACTACCCAACTGAGGACAAGAGCGCTTATGACGCACAATCCGCTTATTCTAAAAATATATTTCTGAAAGGTATCAGTATTATGTGAAAGTACATAACAGTGGAACGATCTAAGGAAACGGTCTTGAATCAGGAGAAGAACATTTTTGCCAAGGCTTAAGGGTGAAGGAGGTGTAGAGTGGAGAGTGACCAGCCGCAAAAAATTGGATAGGAAATGGGCAGTATGTATGAGGTGTACGACCCTCACCACCAGAAGTATATCTCAAAGCAGCCGCTTACGTATTATCTGTCCCTTGAAGTTGCACAGCCCTGAGTTTCTTGACTAACGCACAGACAGCTAATCACATATGGTGTGTTTCAGAGTAGCATCAATTAGTGAGGAAAAAGATTAGTATGCACGTAGAAAACGCTCAAACCTGCAGTAGAATCGGACAAGCCGATTGTACA